ATCCATAAGCACTTATTAAACACCGATGAATTGTGTGCTCTAGGGATATAAAGGTGAAATGAACCAAAGACCACGTTACTATTGAAGAGTACTGACAAAGTTATTGGCAAGGTCCAAGAAAGGGACCCAGAAAAAAATTCAGGTAACAAAGGTCAACTGAAGACTGACTGCAAAGGAATCCCGCAAGAATCCCTCATATTTTCTCTCCTGTTTAGAAACTTTGGAAGCCAATGCAGGTACCGTTTTAAAATCTGATATGCTTGTGAATAAAGTTGAACAGAAGAGGGACTAATGAGTGTAGTCAGGAGTGCCTGTCCTATGACCTATTTAACTGCCATGATCACAGAATGCACACCTAACCCTAACCTACAACTCGGCACAATCCTGCCCTGCTCACTAGGGAAACTTGGCAAGCCAGAGTTTTCGGGGTGGAAAGGCAACGTATTATCTCTGCTAGAAAAACTATCTCAAAGCGCTTGACCTACTGATGTCAGCATCACCTTTACATGCCAGGAACAAATAATTACAGGAGAACAGTTCTAGAACACCCAGCTGGAAGTTAATAAATCAGGGAGGAAGACTAATGACACTGCATCGTACATTCCTGCGAGGCAGGGACCGCATCTGCTCTGCTCGGGGTGGGAGTGCAAGTGTTCTGCTCACAGTGGACATGCCCCTGATAAGACTGTCTGGTCAGTTGAGGACACAACTCTCCAAGGAAAGCCCTGGCCTCTTCCAGGTGTGGGTGGGGACGGCAGGAGTATGCGGTCGGCAGCAGCAGTCGGTGTATAGAAGCCGTGCCGCTGTTGAAATGCTCTTTAAAGTTGCCAGGCAGATACGAAAGGGTGCAGCAAGGCTCTGTGTGTATGTACCTCGTCCCGGGTCAGGAGCTGGCCTATCGCTCCCTCACCCCCACGCGAGTCTGAGGTTCCACGCGCCTGGCAGTAAAAACAAGGCGCTCACACACCTTAACCCGCGACTAGGGTTGGGGGCTGGGGATCTAGGAGACACCCCTCCAGACGAGTTTCTGGCAGGAAAGTGGACCGGGAACAGCGCATTTCCTGCTTCGCCTGTACAAACCCCAGGCGGGGCCGAGCGGGAACGGGGACACGGTCGAGGAGTCACCCGCTGCCAGGGCTGGCTTCGGGGGCGGCCTCGAGGGCGGACCGCGGACTGGGGAGTGGGACAGGGCGTGGAAGCGGACTCCACGCTCCCATCCTTGCGGGGACGTGGGGGGGAGCGTCCCCCAAATCCCCCTCGCCGTCGCCCTTTTCGGCTCCCGCGGGAGAGGCCGGCGCAGCCGAGGGGCAGGGCGGGGCAGGTGGCTCGAGCTGCGGCATCTGCGGGGTTCAGAGCTGGCGGGGTCCTCCCGGGCCGGGGCGCGCGCGGCAGGGGGGCGGTGGCCGCTATCTTCCGGGCCACTCCTTCCTCCCGTCCCCTCCCGCCCGCGACCTTCGACCTCCATCCCGGACCCACGGGGGACTGGCCCGGGGATAGGGAGGAGACGCGAAAGGTATCAAGGGGCGCGGTGCCGCCGCCCAGTCGGCGCCGGGGCGCGAGGTGCGAACCCGCGGCGTCGGGCTGCGCGGCCCTACCTGGGAGGTGCGGAGGCCTCGGCCGCTCTCTGCCGCCCCATGCCACCTCCCTCTCGGCTCCCCGAGGCCGCCGCCCGCGCAACGTTTATAAATGCAAAGGCCTTATTGTTGTTCTTTGTTCAGGGATACCATTGTCTATTCGCCGCGGGCCGCCCGGGAGCTTTCCCAGGGTTTGCGGCGCGCACTCCCCTCCCCGCCCCCACGGGCTTTCTCTCCAGAGCCAGCTCGGATCTGCAGCGGTGCCCTCGGATCCTTCCCGATCGACTGGAGTGTCCTTCGTCAGGCTCCCGCTTCCCCAGCATGGAAAACACAAAAGCCTTCGGAAACCGCCCAGCCTTTGCCTGGTCACTCAGGGAGCCGCAGAAAAGCGTGGCTCGACTGCTCCAGGTCTCAGCCACAGTTCGCCACCTACCCGGGTTAATTTCTGCGCCCGCTGGCCAAAGGCCCCAAGTGGTCATGGGCACAGCTTCTCTCTACGCTAGTCGTTTCCTCGCCCAGCCTCTAGAGCCTCGGGTCCGGCCTGGGGGCCGGGATATGAACGCAGTTAGTAGCCAGGAGCCCAGAGAGCTTGGACTGTGCAAAGCGAGTGCACCCGGCCGGCTGCACGAGCGGGTGTGCACGGTTCTGACTCGTGAAAGTTGCCTCTCCCCCCTCCCCCCGCGTAAATCCCTCGTGTTGAGAAAAGCAAGGCTTGCAGGAAACCACTCCGGATGTTTGCTGCTTTACATGTGGCATTTGTGGCTGGCTCTGATAACGTTTCGAGCTCGGCTTCCAACACCGCGTTTAGTAAAGAGACCGAAATAGAAGAGGCCACACATACCAAGACCAGTCTGCGGTGCCGCCTCACCCAACACGCTCCCTCAAAAATATATGACAAGGGAATGGTCAGAAGAAATTAGATCTAGGTAAAGGTATGTAAGTGGAACTAGTCTTAGAACGGCTCCACAATTCCTGCCTGGTAAATTTGTTGAGTAAACTGCTTACGATTCCCAGGGACGGTGTTACAAGAAGGGGGAGGGGCGCCAGAATCTGAAGCTCCAATGCCGTTCCCTGGATGCGCGCTCTCAGTAGTTTTACCCGAAAAAGCTCGGTAGTTAGTCTCCCCGAACAGGGGCAAATAATAACGGGGAGCCCTCGTTTTATTCCCCATCAGTTTCTCGACCTTCTTGGCTCCCAAGCATACCCCTCTCTGTAATGGGCTGGGCGAGAAAGAATATGAGATGAAGAAAGCGTGCAAGGGTAAATCCTGCGTGTGCGTTTTTGGACCCACACCTTTAAAAAAGGAGTTAGTTAAACAGATTAATCTAGACAGATAAAATCGGTTCTGGAATAAGCGTTGTTTTTGTTTAGTTTTCTGTCTCTATTCTAAGAAAACTCCTTAGTTCATGAAAGGTTTTTGCGCTAAGAGGCTTGAGATCTTTGAAAAGATTTATTAGTTACTATTCAAAAAAGTTAGAAAAGATTTCCAAGAAAACAGCAAAGTGCAAGGCAACACGGGATAATTTGTAATATTGCTCTCTCTTCTTTTACATTTTCCTTACTTATCTAACCATTTGCAATGCATTTTTTTGCTTTACTTTCAAGCTCATTTTTTCAGAAAAAATAGCTTGAAAGGAAAACTACATCATCCGTTAAATTAAGATCAACTGCTTCAAAACCACCAATTAAAAATAACACTCCTCTATGATTTCTTTAAGCAGATTTAAATTTTTTTTTCTTGTCTGAATATTAGAGACCTGGGAACTAGAGCCACTTTCTCAACTTTGTCCACTGTACAAAGACTGGCTGCTGAAGGTGAGGGAGAGCAGCTAACACTTCACAGATTCTTGCAGAGCTAAAGAAGAGTTGGCTTAAACTGATACTATTTGTTTTTCTTCATCTTTGGAGAAAAAGTGATGTCAGAGAAACTGAAGGCCAGGAGTTTGCAAAAGCTCTGTGTTTTTGTAGATGCCACTAATAAGCCAGACTTGATAGGCAACTTTGTTGTAATACCACACAAAAAGCTGCAGCATTTTACTTCTCAGGTCCTGTTGTGATCACGACTTTTTCATCACATCTTCCTAGTAAACACAGAAAATCTGTTCTGGACATTGATGTACTGATTTCTTTTGCAATTTCTAATAATAATAATAATAATAATAATAATAGATTCTAATTATTTGGGAATGGCTGTGTCAGTTGTTACCTTAGAAAACAACACAAATAAACAAACAAATACACAAACACAACAGCCTGGCCATGATTAGGAGCTCCAAGTCTGAAGGCAGACGGGTAGGTGTGAATTCTACCCTCCCAACTCCGAGATCTCGGGCAAGTTCCTTAGCCTCTGTCCTGTAGGATATAACAGTGTCTACTTCACAGGGTTGTTATGAGGATAAGCTAGTTGGCAATGTTTGGAGAACGGTGAGTGGCACACTTTGTCATTTATAAGTACTATATAAGGGCTTGTTTAAAATCCCACTCGAAAGGTTTTTCTCACGTCTGAACACTACCCATTCAGATTTTCATTCCAGTCTAAGGGAAAGGGTAGAAATCCCCTAATCATCTGCCAGAGTATCCACATTAGACTGACCCAAAGAACTAGTCATTTTGCCACTCAGAAGGATTGCTCTTTCTCCCAATGGACTCTTGGGCATTTAGATGAATATTGCTGCTGTCTTTACATTTTAGAAATAACAGCTAAGTTTTGCCTCTTTTATTGAACACACATGAAAAATAGTTTTGTTATGTTTACCTTATTGTACATTTAACGCACAAGTTTTCGAGAGTTGGTTTATCATTAAGTAAAAAATTTAAATTCTTCAGGCAAACGCAATATTGGACACAGAACATCATTCTATATTTAATCTGGTTTTAGAAAGTTAGAATTTACCCTGGACATAGTCAAGCAAGTCGAGTCCTTGGGGAGAGAGTCTATTTTTTAATTTATTATAAACAGTGTCTTCCGCATTCGAGAAAACGCATTCGAAGGTCACTCGTGCAGTTCCTTGGATGGAATCGAGGCCACCCACCACTGAAACACCCTTGGCTCGTGTAATACAGATGTGATTTAAAAGAGAATACAGTGGATGTTTCGTATGTTAATCTGAACTACCTTGGGCAAGTAGCTCTATCCCAGGGCACAGTTAGCACCCCCAGAGGTTTTTTAGGCGTCCCCCTTCCGGGCTCGGAGAGGGCTTGGCGCCAGAGCCACGCTCAGGCCAGTTCTCTCTAGGGCAGGTGTAGCCCTAGGCGCGAGGCTGGGGGATGGGCAAGGGGCGGGCGGGGGGTTGAACTGGGAACTCGGACTCAGACCACGACCTGGGCGTGGACCTAACGACTCGGACCCGGCCCGCCCCCGCCGCTCCATTGGCCACATCTGTGCAGAAAAGGCCCGGCGGCCCCGGGGCACCCGCAGTGTCACTGGGCCGGCCGGGGGCGCTGGCTACGCTGTGGGCTAGGACTGGACAGGAACGCGACCAGCGGGCTCGAGCCCAGACACCAGCGCACACAGCCCTCTGCCATCTCCCTGCCTCGTCCCCACCCCCTCCCCCCGGGCCGGGGGAGGCGGCGTGTCCGGCAGAGGTTTCCGAGGCGCGGGGCAGGCCTGGAGCGCCATGAGCAGCCCGGATGCGGGATACGCCAGTGACGACCAGAGCCAGCCCCGGAGCGCGCTGCCCGCGGTGATGGCCGGCCTGGGCCCCTGCCCCTGGGCCGAGTCTCTGAGCCCCCTTGGGGACATGAAGGTGAAGGGCGAGGCGGCGGCGAGCAGCGGAGCGCCGGCCGGGGCTGCGGGTCGAGCCAAGGGCGAGTCACGGATCCGGCGACCGATGAACGCCTTCATGGTGTGGGCTAAGGACGAGCGCAAGCGGCTGGCGCAGCAGAACCCGGACCTGCACAACGCTGAGCTGAGCAAGATGCTGGGTGAGTCCGAGCCGGGGACCCAAGCGGCCAGACGCGCTCCGGCGACTTACTGAGCCGCTTCCTTGAGCCTAATAAGAGTGTTTTTGAGGGTCTTGCGCCAGAGACCAGGGTGGTCTGAGGCCACGTCCTTCCTTCAGGCCATCCGTCCTTTACCCGCTTCCCGTTCTTTGACTCTCCAAATGGGCTTTCGGCCTCGGTCGTCGGTGCCGCATTACCCGGGTGGCCGGGGGCGCGGGTACTGAGCGTTCTGGGAAGGCGGCTTCCCAGCAGGTCTGCGAGGGTGCGGGAGCACCCCTGGCCCTGAGCTGGGCCGGTCCTACCCTTCCCCCGATCCCTTCCCTGCTAGGTGTGGTTTTCGGTTTTTCGAAAGACGAAGGGATGGGAAAGCGGGAAAGACTCTTTGAGGAGGCTCAAAGAAGGGACGGATACACTTAGAGGACGTGTCTTCCCCCAAGTGCCCAGACTTGGAGACCTTCACTCTTTAACTTGACCCAGGTCCTCCTACAATTGCGCAATTCTAGGTCGGAGGGGACAGGTGGGGCCAGGGGGGGCTCGGGGCGGGAGCGCAGCCGGTAAGCCCTGCGCCCCTCTGCACCTTCCTACGCCCATGCAGGCAAGTCGTGGAAGGCGCTGACGCTGGCGGAGAAGCGGCCCTTCGTGGAGGAGGCGGAGCGGCTGCGCGTGCAGCACATGCAGGACCACCCCAACTACAAGTACCGGCCGCGGCGGCGCAAGCAGGTGAAACGGCTGAAGCGGGTGGAGGGCGGCTTTCTGCACGGCCTCGCCGAGCCGCAGGCGGCCGCCCCGGGCCCCC